TGCAATTCGTGTAGCATTCCCAGCCTTTCCCTTGCCTTTAAGAAGTGGACCTTCCTGTCGAAGGCAACATAGTGAATAAAGATTGAAATAAAATTATGGCTTCAATGGATCTGATGTTGGAAAAATAAACTTGATTTATTAATCTCCTATTTTTAGTCATGTACCTGCATAGTTCATGTGCCAGCATAGTTCATGTACCCATTTATTTTATCTTTACAGTTTCTAGGAGTTTCATTTAACTGTTTTGGGTTTGGAGTCTTTTGTGCCTATAAAATGGCTTGTGCTTGTACTTGAGAATTGATACATCCAAGCGAAGAATAAGGAAGCATTTCTGGAAAGTTTCTTCTTGTGTTCCTCTCTAGTCTTTCCTCCCAAATCTTTATTTCCAACAAAGTGGTATCAGAGCTGACTTTTCAGAGATGAATAGCACTTTTCCCTTTGTAGTTCCCAAACTTACAAAGGAGAATTATGGACATTGGTGTATCCGCATGAAGGCATTGCTTGGCTCACAGGAAGCATGGGAGGTTGTTGAGAAAGGCTATGATGAACCAGAGAATGAAGGAGTCTTGAATCAAAATCAGAAGAATGCTTTGCAGAAGCTTCAAAAGCAAGATCAACATGCCCTCTCTATCATACACATGGGCTTGGATGAAGCTTTGTTTGAGAAAGTTGCTACTGCTACAAAGGCTAAGGAAGCCTGGGGGATTCTTGAGAATAATTTTAAAGGAATTGACAAAGTGAAGAAGGTTCACCTTCAGACTCTTCGTAGTGAGTTTGAATCTCTACATATGAAGGAGTCTGAATCTGTTTTCGACTATTTCACTAGAGTGTCTTCCATTGTCAATCAAATGAAGTGTTATGGAGAGAAGATTGAAGATGTACGTGTTGTGGAGAAGATTCTCAGGTCACTTGACTCAAAACTTGAGTTTGTGAGTGTTGCCATTGAAGAATCAAATGAACTGGATTCCATGACCCTCGATCAACTCATGGGGTCCTTGCAAGCATATGAAGAAAGACTTAAAAGGAAGCAAGAACCGGTGGCCCAAGTTCTCCAAACTAAGGTCTCTTTGGGAGAACGAGAACAAGAGCAAGAGCATGGACGATCTCAAGGAAGAGGTCAAAGTCGAGGTCGAGGCCGAGGTTGTGGTCATGGTTGAGGAGGAAATTTTGGCCGTGGCCGAGGAAGAGGAAGAAATGAAGGTGGCCAAAATTTTAACAATGAAGGGTTGAGCAATCAACCACGAGGACGTGGATATTATGGTTCAAAGAGAGGAAGCGGAAGAAGGTATGACAAGTTCAATATTCAATGTTATGCTTGTCACAAATATGGCCATTATGCCAATGAATGTAGAAGTTCCTCCACCAACAATGAGGAGAGGGCTAATTATGTTGAAGCAAAAGAAGAAGAAGAATTGCTACTGTTGATGGCAACTAAAGAAGAAAGAGATACCAGAGCATGGTACCTTGACACGGGTGCCGCTAATCACATGAGTGGCAACAAAGAGTTGTTCTCAACTCTTAATGAGGCAGTAAAAGGCAACATTATATTTGGAGATGATACCAAAATCCCAATAAAAGGCAAAGGTGATGTTCTCATCCGTTCAAAAAATGGAAGTCACCTTTTAATTACTCAAGTTTATTATGTGCCTACTTTGAAATCTAATATTTTGAGCTTGGGACAATTACTTGAGATGGGGTATGATATTCATTTGAAGGATGGTTGCCTTACTTTGAGAGATGGTTCAGACAACTTGGTTGCGAAGGTACCTATGGAGAAGAATAGAATGTTTTTGCTCAATGTTCACGTGGATCATCCAAGAAGCTTGAAGACTTGTGTTGAAGAAGCTTCTTGGCTTTGGCACTTGAGACTGGGTCACTTGAACTTTGGTGGCTTGAAGGCATTAGCAAGTGAAGAGATGGTGAATGGGTTGCCCAAAATTAATCACCCCAACCAGCTCTGTGAAGGATGTTTTTTTGGCAAGCAAGCTAGAAAAAGCTTTCCAAAGGAGGCCACTTTTAGAGCAACCAAGCCACTCCAACTGGTTCATGCGGATGTGTTCGGACCAATCAAACCATCATCATATGGTAAAGCTAATTATTTCTTGCTCTTCATTGATGATTTTTCTCGCAAGACTTGGGTTTATTTTTTGAAGGCAAAAAGTTAAGTTTTTGGAGCATTCCAAAAATTCAAAGCTCTTGTCAAGGAGAGTGGTTACTCTATCAAACGCTTAAAGACTGATCGAGGAGGAGAATTCACTTCCAAGGAATTTCAAAATTTCTGTGAAAATAATGGAATTCGTCATTTCCTCACTATTCCGAGGTCCCCGCAACAGAATGGCGTCGTCGAGCGGAAGAATAGAACCATTCTTAACATGGTTCGAAGCATGCTTAGGAGCAAGAATATGCCCAAGGAATTTTGGGCAGAAGCAGTGGCATGTGCTGTGTATTTGTCTAATATTTCTCCCTCAAAAAGTGTTCAAGGTATGACACCGCAAGAAGCTTGGAGTAGTAAGAAGCCTAATGTTTCTCACCTTCGTGTTTTTGGAAGTATTGCTTTTATTCATGTTCCAATGAGAAGAGATCAAAGCTTGATGGAAAAAGTGAGAAATTTGTCTTCATCGGCTATGATTCAAGCTCCAAAGGCTACAAGTTCTACAATCCATCCAATGGGAAGATTGTAATCAGTAGGGATGCTGAGTTTGATTAGGGATGCTGAGTTTGATGAAGGAAGCTCATGGGATTGGAATGTCTCTCAAAATGAAGAATATGTTGTCTTTCCTTTGCAAGAAGGAGAATCCAGACAAGACACAAGGCAAGATGTTGCTACTCCACCTCACTCTCCTCATGGATCTCAATCACCTGAGGATTGTTCTTCTGAAAGGCCACTACGTACAAAAAATCTTATTGATATTTATGAAGAAACTGAGGTGGTTGATAATCCAAGTTTCTTTTGTCTCTTTGCTGACATCGAACCGTTAAATTTCGAAGAGGCAGTAGTAGACAAGAAATGGAAGCATGCAATGGATGAAGAGATTAAAGCAATCCAAAAGAATGGCACATGGGAGCTGGTGACTCTTCCGGAAGGGCAAAAGGCAATTGGCGTGAAGTGGGTGTACAAAGTGAAGAAAAATGCTCAAGGGAAAGTGGAGAAATATAAGGCAAGGCTTGTTGCAAAGGGTTATATTCAGGAATATGGCATTGACTATGATGAGGTTTTTGCCCCTGTTGCTCGCTTGGAAACCATTCGGTTGATCATCTCCTTGGCAGCTCAAAACAAGTGGAAAAATTATCAAATGGACATTAAGTCCGCTTTCTTGAATGGCTATCTTGAAGAGGAAGTGTATGTTCAACAGCCATTGGGATATGTTGTCAAGGGACATGAAGACAGAGTCTTGAAATTGAAGAAGGCATTGTATGGCTTGAAGCAAGCGCCAAGGGCATGGTATAGCCGCATTGACAAATATTTCCAAGACCATGGCTTCACCAAATGTCCACATGAACATGCTCTTTATGTCAAAGAAGACAAAATTGGAGGCTTTATGCTAGTGTGCTTGTATGTTGATGACTTGATCTTCACCGGCAATAATGCAAACATGTTTGAAGAATTTAAGAAGGCAATGACTCAAGAATTTGAGATGACCGACATTGGTCTCATGTCCTACTACCTTGGAATTGAGGTAAAGCAAAATGAAGATGGGATTTTTATTTCTCAAGAAGCTTATGCAAAGAAAGTTCTGGAGAAATTTGAAATGGCAAATTGCAAGCCGGTAAGCACCCCCATTGCTTGTGGAACTCGATTGTCGAAGTACGATGAAAGTACAAAGGTGGATCCCTCTCTGTATAGAAGCCTTGTTGGAAATCTGAGATATTTGACTTGCACAAGGCCAGACATTCTCTATGGGGTTGGTCTTGTGAGTCGGTACATGGAGGCACCTACTTCAACACACATGAAGATGGCCAAGAGAGTACTTCGATACATCAAAGGTACTGTTGATTATGGCCTAACTTATTCTTTTTCCACAAATTTCCAACTCTATGGCTATAGTGATAGTGACTGGGGTGGTGATGTTGATGATCGGAAAAGCACCACCGGCTTTCTATTTTTCTTGGGTGACACTGCTTTCACTTGGTGTTCAAAAAAGCAACCCATTGTAACTCTCTCTACTTGTGAAGCTGAATTTGTTTCTGCTGCATCATGTGTCTGTCATGCAATTTGGCTAAGGAAGTTGTTGGAGATGCTACGCATATCTCAAGATGAAGCTACAACCATTTACATAGATAACAAGTCAGCTATTGCTTTGAGAAAGAATCCAATGTTTCATGATCGAAGCAAGCATATAGACACCAAATATCACTTCATAAGGGAGTGCATTGAGAGGAAAGATGTAAAGCTTGCCTATGTGAAGACTAATGATCAAATTGCAGATATTTTCACCAAGGCACTGAAGTTTGAAGATTTTGCAAGACTG